TCAGCAGGAGAGGACTCTTTAAAGTAGAGACACTACATACTGATATACACCTGAACATCAGCAGGAGAGGACTCTTTAAAGTAGAGACACTACATACTGATATACACCTGAACATCGGCAGGAGAGGACTCTTTAAAGTAGAGACACTACATACTGATATACACCTGAACATCGGCAGGAGAGGACTCTTTAAAGTAGAGACACTAATACTGATATCCACACTGAACATCAGCAGGAGAGGACTCTTAAAGTAGAGACTCTCATACTGATATACACCTGAACATCAGCAGGAGAGGACTCTTTAAAGTAGAGACACTACATACTGATATACACCTGAACATCAGCAGGAGAGGACTCTTTAAAGTAGAGACACTACATACTGATATACACCTGAACATCAGCAGGAGAGGACTCTTTAAAGTAGAGACACTACATACTGATATACACCCTGAACATCAGCAGGAGAGGACTCTTTAAAGTAGAGACACTACATACTGATATACACCTGAACATCAGCAGGAGAGGACTCTTTAAAGTAGAGACACTACATACTGATATACACCTGAACATCAGCAGGAGAGGACTCTTTAAAGTAGAGACACTACATACTGATATACACCTGAACATCAGCAGGAGAGGACTCTTTAAAGTAGAGACACTACATACTGATATACACCTGACATCAGCAGGAGAGGACTCTTTAAAGTAGACACACTACATACTGATATACACTGAACATCAGCAGGAGAGGACTCTTTAAAGTAGAGACACTACATACTGATATACACCTGAACATCAGCAGGAGAGGACTCTTTAAAGTAGAGACACTACATACTGATATACACCTGAACATCAGCAGGAGAGGACCCCTTTAAATTGCCATTTCTACAGAAACAGATGTATCTGTCAAAAGGCTTTCAATGGTGCTCTCCATACAACTTAATTTTCAAATAAATATTTCTTGCTCTAAGTTAATTGTTATTTTCTTTCTCTTTAACAACTTATTTTAATAAATTAAGTTGCTTCTATTAAGCTTCATGTCTTTGCTATATTTAACTTTGTGATCAATACAGCCAGAGGAGATGTAATAAGAGAGGCCCTCACATGAAGAAAAAAAAACATTTGGACTGAAACGACTCATTTGTCTTAGTGCTAAGCTGTGCCATACACACACACACACACACACACACACACACACACACACACACACACACACACACACACACACACACACACACACACACACACTGTCGTCTTTCACATTCAGTGTTGTTTAATTTGCAATCTGTCAGACCCTTGAATAGATCAGTATCTAGGGTTCACCGGCCAATCAGAGCTGAGCATTGTGTTGTGACATTATTCAGATGTTAGAGACCTTTGAAAGCCCCAACAGCTCCAGCTGACTCCCTGACAACAAGAGGAGGGCGAGTCTCAACCTGCTTGCTGAGGACAAAGAAAGAGGCATAACAACAAGACAAGCAACGAAGAATAATCAAAGGTAAACTGTTTGGGTCATCAATTCAACCAAGAGTGGCCAAAATGCAAGCTAAAAAACAATCATGATGTTGGCAAATTAATTACCTATTTGTGAGTTGGTCATTGGAGGAGGGACATAAAGTCGGAATACAAAAAGACAATAAATAATTTCAGTATACTGGCATATCTATAACAGCCATAGTTTCAGCTTTCAAATGTGAATACTTGATGTCACCCTAAAGACACATTTCAAGTAAATACAATTAAAAAAAAAATACAACATACAGTACTGGATATGTTAATAAAAAAAAAAAACGGAACAGTAAAACAAAACGTTCTTATTTTATAGTAAAATAAATAAATTGTCCCATATGCCCCCAACCCCCATCACACACACTGACTACAGAAACCACTCAACCCCCCAAACCTGCTTGGGGAGGCTGTGGCTCATTGGTTAGTGTGCTGGACTTCGAATCAGGGGATAGCAAGTTCAAGTCCCACTGCAGTCTTGTGTCCATGGGCAAGACACTTCACCCCAAATTGCTCCTGGGGAGATTGTCCACAGTATTGAGTATGTAAGTCGCTTTGGATAAAAGCGTCTAACAAATGACATGTAATGTTTTCAACAGTGTTTACTCAACAGAATAAACAACAACAACTATCCCTTGGCAAACAGAAGTGTGAATAACGCAGCATTTACCATACTGAAGCAGTTTCATGTTTCACAGGAGTATTGTATATCAAGGTGTGCAGAGTGGTAGAGAACAAGGTATACATTGGAGAAAATGACCTTTCTTTTGATTAACTCTTTAATCAACTTGTGGCATGATAAGTAAGTCATACGTATGATTCGTCTTTTCATATTGCAGGGGAAATGGGGGATACACTTTAGCATTCTTGTGTATTTATAGTGAAAACTACAAAATCCTCATAATATAAGCGATGGAATATTACTATAATATGAACTCAATAGTACTTTACCATGAAATACTTTTACCAAGCGCAACAATGAAGTCATTAACACATTCATGCATGGATACTTAAAGGTGGGATATGTAAGTTTGAGAAACCGGCTCGAGATACACTTTTTGTTATATTCCATGGAATGCTCTTAACATCCCGATAGCAATGAATATCTTAAGTGCTTTGACAAAAAATCCATAAAAAAATATCATCTGTGGAAGCCGTAGTACTGTAAAAAGCACGACCAATCATTTGAGCCGACCCGGCTAAAATAACTGGATGGCCTACCTGCCTGTCAGCCTTCCAACTGTGCACAAACTTATCTCTTGCCCTCATTGGTCATGTGTGCGTTTGTGTGTGTTGGAGGAGGGGCTCTGTAAGGAAGTGGCAGATTTTTTCCGGCTGTGTATTTTCAAATTCTAGCGCACTCGAGCTGGTTTCTCCAAAATTACCTACCCCACCTTTAAAGTGCTAATCCTTTAAGTAGTATTTTTACACTGTGCTATTGTTGCTTTTACTTAATAAAATACTTTTTCCACCTCTGCAGAAAATGTACTTCAGCATGCATTGTTTCCCTCCTTCTATACCATATTACGTCCAAAACAGTCGGGCATTGTTTCTGATAGCAACGTTTCTGATAGTGCCGTGGGTCCACATTTCAGATATTACGTCATATCGGACGCAAATCTGGATCAGCTCCGTTGTAGCCCCGTTTTTAGAGATTTGGGTACGGAGGAAAAGAGAGAGGGTTTTATTTTCTGACGCTGCGTGAGTTCCCCGACACACCGGGGACACATCTTTATGTATAAAAGACATCAAAAAGTGCATTTTGCATGATAGATCCCCTCTAAGTAAATTATCCAAGTACTTCTTGCTCTGCATAAAAAGAGCTTCATCATGCATTGTTTCCTTCGTTCTTCTGCAGAGGCCTAGATTATTGTAATTTGTATTTAAGCAAATTATCTAAGTATTTCTTCCTCTTCATAAATGTACTTCAGCATGCATTGTTTCCCTCCTTCTTCTTTAAAGGCACATATTATTGTAACTTGTATTTAAGATAATGATTTTAGTACTTCTTCCTCTGCAGAAAAAGTACTTGATCATGCATTGTTTCCCTCCTTCTTCTTTAAAGGCACATATTATTGTAACTTGTATTTAAGATAATGATTTTAGTACTTCTTCCTCTGCAGAAAAAGTACTTGATCATGCATTGTTTCCCTTCTTCTTCTTTAGAGGCCCAGATTATTGTAATTTGTATTAAAGTAAATGATCCAAGTACTTCTCCCTCTGCATAAAAAGGGGCTTCAGCATGCATTGATTGTTTCCCTCCTTCTCCCGCAGATTTGAATAGAGTTTGGCGGCAGATCGTGTGTATTGGGGCTGGGTCACGTCTCAGACACTTTGCATGCAGGGCGGGACCCTGAGGTTCTGCAGGTTTTCCCGCTGTGGACCAGGTGATAATAGCGCTTCTGGTTGTCCCTCCTCCCATCTGTTTAACCCGCAGAGCTAATTACAACAGGACACAAAAGCCTGGGCGATTAGTTTATTTAAGCTATATAACGGGCCTCCTCACTACCTGACGTTACTCTGGAGAAGAAGCTCATACACACAGCTGAAACTCAAAGATCCTCTAACGAGGAGAGGACTCGTATGAAAAATAAAAATATATAAATCTGTAGAATATCTTATTTTACAGACATTAACTGGCACAAGGCATAGGTTTCCTTTTAGATTATGCATCGGAAACACAATTATGGTAAACATCTGATACTAGAATAGGCTACATACAAACAAAAAGATTTATAGATGATGATGTATTAACTCTCTTTAAATTGCCTTTAAACATTTTTTTTAAATGCTCCTTTTTATAACATGTTACACAGTTTATATACTGTGCAAAACAACATAAGCAATATAATATATATACTGATACTAGAATAGGCTATATACCCAAACCATCATATTTTGTATATGTATTTACCCTCTGCAAGATTTAAGTTGCCTTTATTCCTTAGTATTTTTTGAGATGCCTCTTTTATAACATTTTAGAGAGTTTATATACTGTGCAAAACCACATAAGCAAACTGTCATAAGCATACATACATATATAGATACATACATATTTTATTTATGTTGATTTATACTTTAAATGTGTCTCTCTAAATTATTCTTATTTTGAATTTACTTGGAATATTTTTTAATACACATTATTATTTTTAATTATAGATTTAATGGGCTTTGTTGGAGGGAGCCTGAGGTCCAAATTGGTGCTTTTCTGTACATTTTGTGCATTATAAATACATTTAAATATGACTACAAAAATAAATCTTCGCAGAGTGAGACGTCCTGTTGATTTTAAATGCTCAGGCTTGGACAGAGCGCGCCGGTTGCCCCGCCAACATGACCCTGTGGGCGTGGCCTTAATCCACGCCCATTGAGGTTCCAACTGACCCGATTGGCTGTGGAACAATGACGATTCATTTCACTTGAACGCTGATTGGCTGTGGTGAGCCAGATGTCTGAGAGCGCCAGAAAAGAATCTTTAGCGGGTGATGCTGGAGTCTCCCCGGGACAGTGAGCTGAGGTTTCCGTAGAGAAGTGCCAGAAAACAGGCTGAGAGAGACTTACCCGCTTATTTAAAGAGGGAAACCGAGCTGCCTAGGTACAGTCTGAAGAATCTACGAACTGACAAGTCTGTACATACACCGGATACTGAGTTACATTGAGAGTATTTCATTCATTCAACAGCACAGAAAAGGTAAGACGTGTTTTTCCCTCCAGTAGTTTTACACTTACTCTGAGTTAAGGAAGTAGCTGATTAAGCTAAACTATCTTGTATCATTAGGCATTAATAACAGTATTACAGTTGTTCAGTTTCACAGGATCTGCCACACTTACATTTATGAAGTGATTTGAGTGATTTGGCCCTTTAATAAGTGGAGCTTGTTATGGCTAACTACATCTGAAGTATCTACAGTATTTCATGTATTGACATCATGTAATAACACACAGATTACTGCTAAACCAGCTGATATATAATGTGTTTACGTTATGTTAGCATTGAATATAAGAGCAATAATACATGTGTAAAGTTATAAGAGTTAGCTTGCTAAGGGCTAATTATTAGCTGAGACCCTTTGCGCCAAATTCAGCTGACCAGTCCTCTGAGTTTTCTGAACTGGTCTTAACTTCCCCATTATTCATTATATATAAGTCTGATTCTCCTAGTATAACCAGAGGAAGTACTCAGATCTTGTACTTGAGTAAAAGTAGAAGTACCAGAGTGTAGGAATACTCTGTTACAGTAAAAGTCCTGCATTCAAAATGTTTCCTCAAGTAAAAGTAGAAAAGTATTATCATCAAAATATAGTTAAAAGTAGCGACAGTAAAATTAGTCATTGGTGCAGATTGGTCCATTTCAGAATAATATATATGATATGTTTTATAATGATTGATCATATAAAGTGTTCTCAAAGCTGGTAAAGGTGTGCAGCTAGTTTGCATGACTTTGTATACTGCAGGGTAGCCTTGTGAATTTACTCCAGGTGGAACTAAAGTCTTATTTAACACCTGATTATATTTCACATCATTCATCCACATCTGTAAAGTAACTAAAGGTATTAAATACATGTAGTGGAGGAAAAGTACACCATGTACCTCTGAACTGTAGTGGAGTAGAAGTATGAAGAAGCATTAAATGGAAATACTCAAGTAAAGTACAAGTACGTCAAAATGATACTTAAGTACAGTACTTGAGTAAGTCTACTTAGTTACTTTACACCACTGCTTATAACCATCTTCAACTTTATTTAACTGCAGATTTCCCAGATGGAAGTTGAATGCCTGTCCCTGAAAGACCTCACGAGTCCCAGGAAAAGTTTCCCGGTGGAGGACGACGGCTGCCACAGTGAACAAAAGGTATGCTGGATCTTATTTATATATATTTGACATGATGCAACAGAGGAAAGGTCTTCAGACTCAGAGTCATCAGACACAGATGTTTGCAAGAATGTGATTGCATCCTCACATTGAGACGAGATTATCAGCTAGGCCAAAGGTGGAAGAAATACTCGGATAATCTACTTGTGTAAAAGCAATAATACCACGTCTAAAACATACGTACAAATAAGTAAAAGTCATGTTACCTAAGCAAAAGGTGATAAGTACCGTATTATCAGCTCAAAGTACAGCAGAATGGCTCTTTTAAAAGTGGATAATTATGATAAGAAATATATTTCCTAATGTTTTTATCATTACAAAATACATGTACGTTGTTTTTTAATGTTGTAATAATTTGTCAATATGGAGCAAATTTGAGAAAGTACTGAGAAAATTAGTAGTGCATATACTTATATCATATAACAACATGTTACCGTGTATAAAGTAAGTGTCAAAATAGTAGTGGAGTAGAAGTACAAAGAAGCAGAAAAAGGAAATGTACAAGTACAAGTACACACACACACACACACACACACACACACACACACACACACATACACACACACACTACCTGCAACATCATTTTATTTAAAACAGCAAAACTTTATTGACAATTACTAATAAAATCTACAGGATATGTATGTTGGAACACGCAGGTGCATTCCATTAGTGATTTGAATTTGTACTCGTATATATATATAATAACAAATATTTCAACTGTTCCCTCCAAATATTGTGACTACTGTCTTGTAGTTTTCCAACTTTTCTTCCTACGATGTCGACTAATTTGATGTTTCCCACGCAGGAAAACATCTGCACGGAGAGGAGGAGATCCACTCCGCTGAAATCCGCCGAGTCACCCATCCCCGTTTTGCTAAAAAGCCGAAAT